TCGGCGAGATCCCGACGACGAATCCAAAGACGCCCGTACGGCAAACTGGGGCCCGTGCGATGATCGGTCACGAGGGCCGGCCACCTAGTAGTGTCACACTAATTTATGCGCCTGCGATCAGAAGGATCGCGGCGGACTTCCGAGGAGACCTCCTCGTAAGATTCATAATTTAAGACTGATAAAATGGATTGTTTCGCGGACCACTTTCCAGCGTTACTGCCATGAGATCTGCCCGCGAACTTGAAAAAATCAGGAACGGGGACCCTTTCGGGAGGCGCACTTAGCCGCACACCGTGATGTGCGTTGTCCAGGGAGTGCCTCGCGGAGGCGTCGCCCCAGATTCTACTCTAGTAGAATCTGTCCCGCGCCCATAACTTACAATAGTGTGTCAGGATTCGCACCGCTCGGTGTAAAAGGCCGAGACGGGCTAGTTTATTTCTTTTTCAGTTGGCAGCTGCTTCGTCTTTGTATGTTTAGACCAGAGGTCTCGTTCGCTTTAAAATTGGATTGGCCTTGCGGTTTCATCAATGTTAAATTAAATAGGCGGGAGTAACTATGATTCTTGGTAACCAAATGTCTCGCTATTCTTAGTAGCGATAGCGCTCCGCCCGCGCAGAACCATTGATGCCGCTGCAGCGAACGTGATATATTCTCCAACCGATCACGACATCTTCGATTTAACATAATTCACCGTTGGTACTTTGGCGAAGTATCTCATGGGCATTCTTGCTCACTCTACAACGCCGCCTCTATCTTGGCAATACATGCAATATTTTCCTAAGGTTTCAAACCTATCTTTTAAATTTACAATAGTACAACATTTGCTATGAATCTTATGCTACTTCTATTAAGGCAAGAAAGCAATACGCCGCCAGATCTTAGGATAAGAACGAGCAATCTGCCTTGTAATTTATGCCATTATGCCGCGACGACGTAACAATGCGCCTTCGGCGCCTGTAAGCAATACGCCGCTGGCGTTTGGAAACAACGCGTCAGCGGTTGAGCAAAGCAATACGCCGCTGGTGATTGCGAGTGACACGCCGCTGGTGATCGAATGAAAGCGTTTCGCTGCGGCGGCTAGTGACGCTCCCGAAGAGGTGCGTCGCGCAAGCATTGGTGATGTGCGAAGCGTAGTTCTTGAGAGTCATAGTTGCTGGGGGCATAAAGCGGAACACATAGCCTCTTATGCCTCAAGTCGTAGTTCGTACCTCCACGTGGTCCCGCTGGAATGCCTATCCATGGAGGATCATAGAGTTCGAAACCGGCTACGGCGAGGCATGGGCGGTGAGGTGCACACCGATGAGGAGCAGCGTCCCCACCTTCCCATAGCTAAGAGAGCGGATGGTCCGCCAACTTTCGGTGCTAAAAATCAATTTTTCGTGATCCAGTATGGAAGGTGTCTAAAGTGGGTACTTGGTGCCCAAACGAATATAAGTATTTCTTATATATCGTACAGAGGCCCGACGGTTGGCGGACCATTGATTCTCTTCGGCGGCTTTGCGCCAACGACAGAAATGCGAACGGAATAACAAATGGATAAGTGTCGGGAACACTTAAACTTCCCAAAGGAAATTAATAAATAAATAAATATCATACCAAGTAACAGAGAAGGAGCCTCGGACACGGGAGCCCCCGGCCCTGGGGCCCCCGTGGCGGACTTGTCCGCTGCCGAACAGAGGGCTACCGGCGACGACCCTGGCTTGCCCATGGACAACGATTTTGACACAATTGATTTACCTCTGAGCGGGCAGGTATTATGCTTATGGTGCTCCAAGGAAGGGAGGAACATTCTGTTCCTCCAAAAAAGAAATATAAAGAATACAAAGAAATGCAAAACCCTGAGAAAGGAATAATATGGACGTGCGCTGCATGCCACAAAAAATTTGATAAATTCCACGGCTGCAGATGTCATTTGCCTAAATGTAGAGGACCAACCTCAAAGGGTGTTGCAAAATTTAAATGTAGCGCTTGCGAGGAATCGTTCCTTTCGCAAAGGGGACTGTTTATGCACGAGATGCATAGACACCCGGCGACGAGGAACCTCAAAAGAGCGCAGAGCACAAGTCGGGGAAATACTAGACCAGTCAGTAGAGCCTCGGTCTGGTCTAAAGAAGAAACAGAATTATTAATAAAACTAAACGAGCGCCACAAACACCTAAAGCAGCCAAATGTGGCGCTCAAAGAATATTTTCCCG